AAAAAAAAAAAAAGAGTTTATGTTGAATATATCACTGGAGATTAACCATGACAAGAAAAAGGTAATTTTGGTTGATGAAAAAGTGGTGTGGTGTGGTTGCCTGTGCCTGTGTTTGACGATAGGGAGGTAAATTCTGATTAAAGGAATGATATAAGCAAAAAGACAGAAATGATTTACATGGAACAGAGGGCAGTTTAGTTTACTTGAAGTGTAGAGTAAGCTGAAGCTAGTAGATGAGCTGCCCTAGGGAGAGAATTCAGAGAGAAAGGGGCCAAGGAGAGAATTTGGATGAAGAAGGCAAAAGGAGGAAGAGAATCAAAAGGAAGATGCTCAAATTCTATTTCATTAATTGATTCACTTTTTCAACAAATATTTGCTGAATACTTGCTATGAGACAAGCACTGAAGTTACAGGTGACTAAATATTTCCCATCTCCATGGAGTTTAGAGTCTAGGGGCAAACAACATTGATTAAATAATGATGCAAATAGACACAAAAGTACAACTGGAATTAGTGCTGCAAAACAGAGGAGCTGCTAAGAGAAGGACAGGTTAGGGTTGTTGAGGGAAGGGGAAGTCCTTAGAGGAAGTCCTTTAAATATGTACATGACATAAGCATAACTGCATTTAGAGAAAAAAAATCACCAGTGGTCCAGTGTAGGGAATAGATGAGAGAGGGGCAGGTTGGATGTGGGGAGGTGAGTTGAGATGCTCTTTCAGTATTCCAGGTGACAGATTAGGGTAGCTTGGCCCAGAGTTGTGGCTAAGAAGATGGAGAGAAGTGAACCAAAAGGGACCTGGTTTGAAGACTAAATGAAGATGTACTGGAGCAGCAATAACAAGACCTTTTGCCAGAGTTGATGGAGAAGTTGAGAGAAGGTCACCTCCTAGATAGATATCTATCTAGATATCTGATTTGTGCAATTGATTGGGTGGTGGTTCCATTTAGAGACATGGCAACTGATGAAAAGACTGGTTTCCAAAGGGACATCATGAGTTCAATTTAGGAAATTTTGATTTTGAGCTGCCTTTGAGATTTCAAGTTGATGGTTTAATAGGCAGTTGGATATATATGAGATTGGAGCTCAGATGGTCTTGGATTAAGATGCAAATATTCACATCTCTTATGTGAGAATATAATTAAACAAAATAAATGAGATCACCCAGGAAAATGTTCGTATAGAATGAGAAGAGAAGAGACCTAGGGCCACACCTTGAGAAATTCTAATAACTAATAACTGGTTTAGAAGATAATGATCCTGTAATTCTCTTCAGGGAATTACTGAGCACTAAAGGAAAATTGGAAGAGTGCAGTATCACAGATGCCAAGAGAAGAGTATTCAAGAAAACAAAGGGGCTTGTTCTGCTGAGAGCCAAATTTTAGACCAGAACGCTTGTTGGATCAGCCTGGGGCAAGAATGGAGACTTCTTCAGGAAAACCTTCTCTCATCTGACCAAGCATAATTAAATGTACCTTCATCTGGGTTTCCATTGAGGTATGAGGTTATTCTAGTACACATCTACTATTTTTACTCAACATTACAAAGGGTGTGCCATCTCCCTTCCTAGGGAAGCGTGGGGCTGTTTTACACAATTAGTTTTTCAGAAATTGAGTAGTTCTTTAAAAATGTGAAATGTTAAACATTCATTGAATACATGAGTAAAACATAAAGAGTAGTTAGAGGGGCAGAAAAACCCAGAAAGGACAAGGAGTGGCAAGTCCATCAGAGAGCGTGAGGATGAAGAGGTCTAACAAATACCACCTTCATCCACATCATACACGTGAGAAGATGAAGCACTCAGGGTGCAACAAGGGTCCTCCCTCCAGAACACTCTGTTCAGGACTCCGAGTGTAGTATTCAACTGCTATTAATTGACCTCCTTTTTTCCCCCCTCTTTTTCTTTTTTTAACCAACCTACTCTATATCTCTATCTGTGATGTCTCTGTAGATCTCAGATGGCTTTGCTGAATGACATCTTTGAGAGCTATCAAACAGTAACCCTATCATTATCTCCTGAAAAAAGCAAAAGATTTGCCTTTCTAAAACCTGAATGAAACTCACCCTTGAAATCAGTGGTAAATGAGCATTTAGTAAGAAGAGCTAATAACCACATGCTGTACGTTTAAACTTTAGAAATAAAATGAATTACCTTTGTCTCCCTCACTATCAAATGAGAATTTCCTTCTTCGTAGTTTACAGTTGTCTCCTTCAGAGTCATTCACGGACTGTGATCGTAGTAAGAGGTCAGCCTTTGTTAATGGACATGAAGATAAAATGGAAGATTATTCAATTTGAACATAAGGTACTGTCAGTAAATTCTTTACAATTTCACATCATTTCAACCACTTGAGACTTAATTATTAGATTGCAGGCAAACAGCTACAATACTTGGCTTCCTGGTTGTCTCTAAATTATAAAATGGACTGATAGAATAATTCTAGTAGTTTCACCATCTGATGAGGAAATCATAGTTGTAGAAGTTATTTGTCAGAAGTGTTTGGGAATAATGTTGTCAACATTTAGAGACAACATATTCTTTTGTGTGGAATGTATTTTCTGTAACTTGGTAAAGTTAAAATAAAAATAATAATTAAAAAATTGCAGAATCTGTATTACTGCAGAGAAAAAAGTAAAAGTTAATTATAACTAGCTGTGCTGTTTAAATACATGGTAATGGTTGCAAAGTTAAATTTCACAACAATAAATATAAGGTTAAATTCAATGAACACTATGCTTTAGACATTTTATTATTTTGAGCTATTGTTGTATTCCCAGTTCCTCCTTCCTCCCCCTCTGGAAAATATGATCATTCTGTAATAAAAATGGAAGCTCCGAAATAAATAAAACCAGTGGAAGCTCCTGTTTTATTTGGTCGCTGTCCAAACTTTTTATGTAAAGAAGTTATCTTGTTTTTCAAGGCAAAATCGGAATGAAGTTGGTGACATGAAAATGAGATTTTAATAAGGTATTGAATGCATAAAAAACATATGCTTTTGATAACTTGAACCTCTTATCATCTAGATATTTTTCAACTTCTCAGTATTTTGAAGAGAAGCAATTATCTGAGCTGATGCTTCAGGTTATTAAATGGTACCCTGGTGACCCCACAAGTTTATCCTCTTTCAGTCTGTCACAGTAGCTGGGAATGACTGTAACTCTGGGAGAATTAAATATACTACCTTTTACCTAACTATTGACTTGAGGATTTTTTTCTCCCAGACAGCATATTAGTTAGCATTAAAAAAGAAAACTTGTAAGTGTCAAAAGCCCAACATTTGGTTTCTGGCAAAAAGCTATTTAGAATCAGAGCTGGGATAATGGGGTTTGGGGAGAAAAGGGGGAGGAATAAACTAGCAGGAAAATTGTAGGCTGCAATTCTGTATTCTTAGAATAGTGATAAGTCATAAAGACACATTTTTATAGTAGAAGAGAGTGAGGGATGCAAGGGCTACACTAATTTTGACTCAGGTTGAAGCCTGATTAATTTATACTTCTGTGATTTGGAAATTGTGTGAAATGCAGACTTAAGCTTGAATGAGTTTAATTTTTTTCATTATTATTGAAAAGACCTTGCAAACCAGTGTGTGGTGTAAATAATAGCTGGGAGAATATTTTAACCCTTGTGTAAAATAAGCTCTTCTAGTTGACTTTCAACAGCTTAGGATCACCCATTTCTTACAAAGAACTGGTACATTCAGTATAACCCAAGGCTATTTTAAATCCAGGGTGTCACCTAAGAGTTCCTGAAAGGTCAAATTTAATTGACCTCCTTAAAAGTTATTCAGTATATTTGGAAGTAATTAGACTGAATTCCTTCCCTCTGACTTAGCAATTCTAACATGAAGTTGGCTTTTCCTTCCAAATATTCAGAATTGGTAAAGTTTTGCTATATTTGGCTTGATCGTTCAGAAGTATTTCAGCGATCCAAGAATAAAATAAAATGTCATAAGTACAAAAATAAGCAAACCATTAACATATACCTTTGCACTCTCATGTCTTAGGTTAAAAGTCAACTCTAGGTTTGTGAGAAAGTGATCGGAAAACTCGGGATACATATCCAAAACTTCTAACAAGTCTTCTCTCTGGATCTTATGCAAGTCACAGTATGTGAGAGCTCTCACATCTGCATTAGACTTTCCAGGTTTAGCATAAAGATGAACCATTTCTCCAAATATATCGTTTTTTCCTAAAAAAAAAAAAGAGGTAAAAGGAGTCTGAACTTAATGTTTTCTTTCTAAAAATACAAGGGGACCACTGACCAATCCTTGGACTGGATTCCAAAGACTTCAAATGGAAGATCCCATGACCAACAGACACTTGGGCAGCAAAATTCCAGTACCTTCTACTGACTGCTTCAGTCATGTTTGTTTGCTGAGTGGAATTTTACCTCTTAACATACTGGTCCTGGTATAATTCCTATTATTTCCTTGTTTTGATTCTTTGGCTAAGTCTCTAGAAATGCAGCAAACATGACTTTAGTCTGCTCTGCCCTATATGGCTAGCAAAGGGTCTTGCCATATAGTGGGTGTGGTCTAATTTTGTCAATCCAGGAATATGAAAAAGGTGGCAGTGAGTCAGATTCACAAACTTTCTATCTCAGGATGGTCTCGGGGAGGGGGTGGGTGATGCCAAGCCCAGCGGTATAGTGGAACGCTTTCAACACTATTGAGGACTAGGGGTATAATTTGAACATACCTTGCTTCCTTTAGTAACCACTTCTGGATTTGCCCTTGATGAATTTTCCAATTGTTTAATAAATCTAGTTTTATTTATAGTCTTGCCTTTTTACCAAATGGCCTTTATTCTAAAAGTGTGTCCTTCTTGCTTTCTTGCCAAACCTGGGATTATTTCAGTATCTGGCTTCTGAGGGGTCCTCCTCATCCCCTCTGCCTAGCCACAGGCCACCTGCCTTTCCAGGCTTTGTTCACTAATGAGGATGATGACAGCAACAACAAGTGCTTATTGAGATTTAAGTAGGTGCCAGGCACTGTGTCAAACGCTTAGGTGAATTATCTCATTTAATCCCTAAAATAACCTCATAAAGAAATTACTACTTATTATCTAAATATTTTGACTATGAAAGAAGATTAAAGAGGTAAACTGATTAGGTCAAGGTCACATACTTAGTTGGGTGAAGGGAGGGAGAGAGTAGCCATGATTAAATCCCTTGCATTCTGACTCCAGTCAACATCTTTTCACACTTGGTAGGTTTAATCTCCTCCCAGTGTTTTACCTGAATGTCATGGCTACTTAGATTTTTCTGTCTCTGAATGTCAAGGCACCTAAAAATTGCAGAATACGTGCTTAATAATAACTGATAGATTATTGATGGTATAACTTTTAAAGATCGTCAACGGTCGTTGTAAAATGGTACTTTCTTACATATATTGTGAAGCTTCTTTTCAGATTTAGAAAACAACTTTCTGGATCCATTAAGTTAGTTTTTGACAGACAAGTTTATATATACCTGACTATGGAAACTATCAAAGACTTTTAAACAATAAAATTCCAACTGGTCAAAAATATCTGTAATGATCTTATTTTAAATGTGAATTTAATGGGGAGAAATCAGAGATCATATCTCTATGACAGAAATTGATATGGGAGAGAATACATTAACTTTGTTTTAAATAAATATCTCGCTTCAAACATGGAATGAATAATCATAATTTGTGAGGATTTTAGGTGCAGATTTACATGGAAATGGGGACAGAAAAAAATCTTGAAATTCTTCATAGTTTTAATACTTCGGTATAGATATTATCAAAGAAAAGCTCTCAACTAAATTCAGCATGAGCTTTGCATTTTAATTAGTTTACATCACTGTAAATGAGCAAAAACTAAGCCAGCCAGTGTGTACTGCTTAACTACACTCTAAAATTACTTTTTTATAAGGCGAGAGGGCTTGTTACCTCCCTGTAGAAGCTGGGGCAGGCTGATTCTAAGATCAGGAATGCAATGAAGCATGCTTCTTCCCTGGCAACATACAGAGCAAACTGTTGAGGCCAAACTTGGTGAAAGTCCAAGTTTATTATGTAGCTGCTACCTGATTTATGTTTTTATTCTTTGCCTGATTGTTGAATCGTAAACCAAATTGTGCATCTTGTCAATTTGGGGTTTAAAGAAAACTGTCACTATAACAAAATTATCAAGATATATAGGAATTACTCAAACTTCTTCATCCTGTGCTAGGCCATACTCTGGTTTTACACAGCAGCAAAGAAAACAGACAACATCCTTGTCCTTTTTTGGATGTTAACATCAAGAATCTAGTGAAAGGAAATCATTGAGTTACATGCTCATTATTTAAATGGACCTGGGTTTAATCCACAGGAAAACAAAGAAGTGCCTATGTTCACAAATGTTGGGGGTGGGTGTTCCCATGGGGACGCTGAGGCTTAAACCTCCTGGTGAGGTGGTAGGGGAGAAAAACTGATCTCCTTTCTCTCTGCTTCTTTCCTCTTTCCCACTGTTCTAATATTCCGAAGAAATCCTACAAGTTCACACTGACTAAATTTGGTTTTGAACAGACAGATTGGACAGATGGACTTTCTTTTGCACCCAAACCAGTTTAATTTACTAGTAATTTTAATCTCCTCACCACCTTTATCTCTATAAGTTCATAGCTTTTTATATGACTTAGGTAAGGACTCATATAATTCCATTTGATAGGACACAGCAGGTAAAAGTGCAGAGCAAATAGATGAAATTTATCAACACATAAACACAGTTCACGACAGGGCACTGGCGCATGCTAGCAAGTATCTTACAATGTATACATTTTATTTAAGGTGTTAAGGGATCCAGCATGAATCCAAGGTTCTCCAACATGAAAAGCAAAATGCTGACTGTTTTCATATATTTGGCCTCAAATGCTTAAGTAGCTGCCAAGAACTAAAGAGAGTCATGGAAGTGTTTACACATCAGAGAAAAAGTGAGACAGTCATGAAAACATACTTTCTGCAAGGTCAATTTGATTTGGATTGAATTCTAAATAAAGCTTTAAAATGACCTCTCAGTACCTCTGAAACAAATAATACATTATATGTTAGAAAAAAAAAAAGGGAGAAGATAGCAGGAAGGGAAGAATGAAGGGGGGAAATTGGAGGGGGAGACGAACCATGAGAGATTATGGACTCTGAGAAACAAACTGAGGGTTCCAGAGGGGAGGGGGGTGGGGGGATGGGTTAGCCTGGTGATGGGTATCAAAGAGGGCACGTTCTGCGTGGAGCACTGGGTGTTACACGCAAACAATGAATCATGGAACACTACATCAAAAACTAATGATGTAATGTATGGTGATTAACATAACATGATAAAAAAAATAAAATAAAATGACCTATCAGTCTTGTACTCACAAATAAATGGATCGGTCCTGTTTTCTATTGTTTTAAACTACGTATCGCACCAGCTAATACCTGAATTTGTCACCATCCGGTTCTGAAACACTCACCCAGAATAGCTACCACAATGTCATCTTTGAGGATTTCAATGGAGCCTCTGGATAAGAAATAAAGTGCAGTGAGGACATCCCCACAGTGAACCAGGGTGTCTCCTGGAGGTGCATGGGTCGTCTTGAACTTCATTGCCAAAGCTCTAAGGCAACCTTTACTTGCCCCCCGAAAGGCTTTGCAGTTTTGCAGCAAAGTCTGGTTGAGATGTAGACAAATGTCAGCTTGTAAACATTCTGGGAAACCCTTTAGGACCTGAGGAAGAAAAATAAAGAGTTTCATACTACCAGTGCACAGGGTACCTCCACCTGAGAAATAAAGTATATTTCTTGCTCACAGAACTGCGGGTGTAGTCATTGTCACACGAGTTCTTACAGTGCTTCTGCCTCGCCTACCTCAATGAATACTTGGTTTGCGAAACATGTCAGAATTTTAACTCAAATACTTGTTCTCTGAATTAACTGCAGGCATTCAGACTCAACACAAATGCTGTCTCATTGAAATGTGATGCCTATGTTTCACACTGCTTTTCATTCCCTGCATTATGTGAGGTAGCATCATACTGTGCACATATAGAATGCAAATGTGACAGTAAGACATAACTAATGAAAGGTGGTACATCTAGAAAGACAACCTTCTGAAGGAATCTCAAGTCCATTTGGAGTGCTGTCTCTGGTATACTTCTTCATTGAAATTAGTAAAAAGAATGATCGTGAAATAGCCATGGTATTTGTAAATGTCATAGACCAGAGGGTGCTCTTCTCTAACAGTACGTGGAATATTTATGTTTCATATGCACACTATTAATACTAAATATTTTGATAAGCACTGAAAATAGAGAAAGAGAAGGAGAACAGCAAACATAATTTAAAAGTATAGCTATGTTTTCAGAAATGGAAATTGTGCCGAAGTTTACAATGCAAACATAAAGCTTCTAATAGCACTACTGTTTTGACAACCTATTCAGCGACTGATTTAAATCTGATAGAAGAGATTAAATAATAGCTTGTGACAAGTGCCACTCAATTTAAACTGAATATAATTCTATATTATTTTATAAAATTCCCAGTATACAATGAGCCAAAGACACTCAACTCCTGCTTCTCTGTGTGTGTCTTAGTTTTTTTGGGTGTCATATGTAGATTTTAATTCTCATGTTGACTTTCCTCTGTCAGTAAAAATAAATCCATTTTAATGTGCCTTGAAGTAGAGGGGAGGGGCATTACACAGTGCTTAATAATGTAATTTTAGGATTTCCTAAATTTTGGGTCAACCTTGCTGTTGCTATTCAATATAGCTAAAAGTCATCATGAATTTTTTGTCCAGATAATTGAAATGTACATGGTTCATGGAGGACCTTCAAATTAGACCACATTTGAGTTAACTTACACTTATGTCTATTTGAAATGTTAAGGCAGCCAGGGCGTACTGCTTCTGTAGGTCCCCTGTGTGATGCAGCCAGTCAGACGGGTGTGGTATCATACAAACGGATCAATGAGAGACCGAAAACATGACAGCCACCCCCTCCAAGCTTGTTTCCTCCATTGCGGAGTCACCCACAGAAATGGGTCAAGGGCGTTTTAGAAGAAAACCCACAGAATATGGGTTCTGGTCCTGAATTTGCCACAGGTTCACACTTGCGCAAGTCACTTCATCTATCTGTGTTTCTTTGCCAGAGAATGAGTTTTTTCGATTTTAAAATTTGTTGTAAGTTACCAGTAAATAGTGTGCCAATTTCTAGACACCACTTACCCAGCTCCACACAGCTGTAGGAACTCAGACATCTATCCTGAAGTTTCTACATTACCTGGCTCAGACCCAAAAGAAATGAGCCTCCCTCTTCTTCTGAAACTTCTGTCCTTAACTCTATCTTTCAGACTTTGTCTACGTGACTGGACTCCTACCAGATTTCCTGCTTGGACTGAAGGCCTTGCCAGAAAGATAACTTGCCTAATCTTTGCCCATTTTTGCTTTTGAAGGCTAGGGGCTCTGTCAGTCCTAAACACCTCAGCTCCTCCCACAGAGCCAGCCCTCTGGTAGGTCACTGACACTTTCTACTGGTCTAAACTATCACATGGGATTCTTTGGCAAGTGATGCTAGGCTGCAGTTAAGCAAGGTTTGCACACTGTTTTCTGAAATGGGGCCACTTTATTTGGGGGTGCTATAGTAGGAAAAAACCCAGTTTACTGGTCTTCCTGCATATGATTTACTTTTCCTCCCTGAAGCCCACTGTTGTGGTCTCAGCATAATTCTCAGATGTCCCCATACAGATAAAAATGTAAAGAGCATCACACCGAATAACAAGTTAGACATGTCTATTTTTTTCTTAAGATTTGGCTATAAAAGTATACAAAAAGGCATTTTATATTTCACATAAATGGGGAAATTGCACTTTCCCTATAATAATTAGAATGAGATTGTTGAGCTTGTAGCTGCTATTTCTGGCATTTTCCTGAAGTTCCTCTGTTATACTTTCTGAGTATAGCCTGCTTATAAAAGGAAAAATTGTGCATGTGTGTGTGTGCATGCATGTGTGCAAGGTTATGTATGCATGTTTTGAATTGGAAGGTACAGATGAGATAGAGGTAGGGGTTACTCATTTTTCTGAGTATGTTAGATGAGCTATGGAATCAGATAGGCATGAACTGAAGTTCTAGTTCTGACACGTACTAGTTGTGACTTTGGTTAATTCAATTAAATTTTCTTGAGATTCAGTTTCTTCAATTGTAAAAATAATTAATAATATCTACTTCACAGCGTTGTGCCCACAATTAAATGTGATAATGTATGTAAATTATCCCATTCATTGTAGCTCTTCCATAGTTACTTCTGTCTTTTTCTTTTCTTTTCTTTGTCATACATATTTATTGTTCCTGAAGAACTAGTAAGTTCTCTTTAGCTAGAAATTGAGAGATACAACACCCATTGTATTCTCCTTGATCTTTTTGGTGAATAGAAAATTCACCACTAACTTTTGTGTTCCATTGCCTCAACAGAGTTTAAGATAAATTTTGTTTCCTGTTTCTGACTTGTGTTAAATGTTTTGGCTTACTTGCACTTAGGTTTTCACTGTGAGTTGTCTTAAATTCTTTTTGAAATAGGCAGTTACTAAATCAATATAACCATGTTCTTGGAATGCCAATATTCTTAGAATCGTTCACAAAACCATAAAGGGTACTTGGGAAAGTTTTTCAACATTATTCTCTTCTCAAATGTCCTTAAGTGTCATCTCCCAGCATTTATCCTATCAGATGTGACACCCATTGGAAAGAATGGCCTCAAGTTGGAGATACCACAGAGTTTCATGGAGAAGTCTTTGCTGGCCCAGGGAGAAGGTACACACATGTTGGCTTGAAGGACTTATCTGGATTAAAGACTTATCCTGTGATGTTAGCCCTTCACTAACTTTCTTAATTTTCTTAAGTTAGTTACATAGATCACTCAAGTAAAAGTCAATAGAAGTTAACATTTAGTAAGTGAATTTCTTATTAGCCCGGAAGTTTAAACGTCCTACGTAAATTAGCAGCTTTGGAATCTGGGGGATGCCTAAGTAAAGGTACTTTAAAAGCAGAGTTAAAAGAGAGGGATTATAGAGAAATAGACTAGAAGAACACAGAAAAGAGTGAGGAGAATGGGGTAGATTTAAGTAGTATTCATCCAAGACACCCATTTCCATTGGTCTCAACTGTGTCGCCTTTCTTACTTCCTACTCATTGTACTTTTTTTCATCAGGTTTGGTTCCTCTGCTAAACTACCTGACATGGAACTTCCTCATTTAACAGTCAAATATTAGCTTTTTACCAGGCCTGGCAGATCTGGCTGTGAAGAGTAAGTGTGTCAAGTACACAGGTACAAACCAAGACACACCTGGTTTACTGACTGTTGTAATTATTTCCACTACTCTCTACACAACCTTCTTGTCTGTCAAGTTCTGAAGCTCTGAGGGTACACAGCACCTTTCACTGTGTGTCTGAAGTCATTATTTATTGGGTTGAATTGATTTCAAAGAGCCAGGAGCATCACCCAGAATCAGGGTCATGGCCTGCAGCTTGGAAAAGTAGCTCTCATTCTTTTAGCAAATACATAGTAAGTATCTACTCTATACCAAGCACTATACTTGGCATGGAAGCATAACAATGAAAAAAATATGTTCTGAACATATACCTGGCCCTTAAGCCTTTCTCTAAATGCCCGGATTAAAAAAATATATATATATTTAATCAGGTAAAATAAATATAAATATATATATTTAATCAGAATTTTCCACACCTTGTTTTGCATGGATATTTATAGTACACATTTGGACACTTATAATCCTAGTGGTTGTTCAAATGAACCCTCAATATACAGTTAATTAAAGGTGAATGAAAAGCTCATTTTAACTTTTCTAATATTTGCAGTTATGGGGGATTTTTAAAACTTCCTGATGTTCCACAAAATTTTTTCAAGGCTGGTAAAAATCTCATGTCTTTATTATGGTATAAGGTCTCTTGAATATTTTATAAATGTAAGGTTAATTTTCCTTTACTTGACTCTGTGTGAATGAAACTCTTTGGGTCCCTCAACTTATGTAAGACAAATGAGATATTTAGTCTTTTAAGTGAGTTTGAAATGCTTTCTGTGATTGCTAAAAGCAATCAACCCCATAGCTTAGTACCAAAGGACCCAAAGTTTAAGGACATTCAAACAAGAATAACCTAACAAGTACACAAGATAGCACTATTAAATCAAAACTCCTTGAAGAAATCATACACAGGGAGAGAAAAGTTGAAATAGTTAACTATCCCATAGTAGGCACCTATCAAACATGATCAGATACTAATTCAGAAGTATTTAACTTTATACTAAACTTCCCTCAAATGTGTATCTACTGGCACACACGTAGAGGAATAAATACTACAGTATTGTTAATATTTGCAATTATGCAGAGTGTGAATTCAAATTTTCTTCATACTGAGCAAGGAATACAAAATTTAAAAAAGAATGGAGGCTGAGGTTAATGCAAGCCTGCAATTTCTGATTTGATATGAGTGTGCTCATCAAAATGACACTTGTCTCATTTACTTTTTAATAAGTAGATCTTTAAATTAAACTTATATACTTATGGCAATAAAACAGTTATGGTACCTATTTTATGTATTGGGGTTTCAGTGAAAGTCCATGACAGATTACAATTAGAGAAATGTGTCCTGAGCTTCAGTCAGGGGAGTCTGAGAAGAATTTTAATGAATATTAATTAAGATTATTATTTTTG